GTGCTCCTTGCTGCCTTGTTAACACCCTTGGCCATGTCAGATTCCAGAAAAGGTGTCATCCTTCTGAAGAGTGGGGACAGAGTTGGGGTGGGGGTGAGGGTCTGGGAGAGGCCCAGCCAGCAGGGGCGGGAGGTAGCAATGTGGCTGCTTTGGGTGGGAATGTGGCTTAGTCCCCAAGGACTGTGGATAGGAAGGTGCCCTGTGACACTGCAACTCTGGTCAACAGAGTGGACTAGGCGAGGCAGGTGGTAGGGGCAAACAGAGTTTTCTATTCCTCACCACACTGGGACTGAGCAGCCGGGAGGGGACAGGGTGGGATAGCATACAGGGCACTGGGAACTGTGCAGGTCACAGACAGAGCCCAGTGTTTGATGAGGGCTGGCCACTGCCCTGGCCCCTGCCTCCCTTTTCTGAAGTCTCAGAGCTCAGAGGTCCTGCATGATACCCGATGGCCATCAAGGAGAAAGGAATGGCTGGAGCTTCCTTTATTCCACAGGGCCAGAGGGGACCCTTGAAAACATGCCAGGCAGGGTCACATCTGCTTAGAAGCCTAAGGTTTCTAATCCCCAACCTGTCCTGGGCTGGCATGGGAGCCGGACTGCAGAGCGCTGCTGAGCCCATTGCCCAATCCTGTGCCTGAGGTAGTTTTTTATCCAAACCCATCTGTATCAGTTTACTGTGGCTGCTATAACAAATTACCCTAAACCTTGTTGCTACACACATGTGTTCTCTTACAGTTCTGGAGGCCAGAAGTCTCCAAATCAGTCTCACTGGGCTCAGGTCAAGGGTTGGCAGGGGGATTCCTTCGGGAGGTCCCAGGGGAGAATCCTTTTCCAGCTTCTAGAGACCATCTGCATTCCTCTCCTCAAGTCACTCCGAACTCCTGCTCCCTTCACTTCCGGTCCTGACTCGAACCCTCCTGCCTTCCTCTTTGAAGGATCCTTGTGGTTACATTGGCTCACGTGGATAATCCAGATAGTCTCCCCAAGGCCTTTAACAAAATCCCTTTACCACGTGAGAGCATATTCACAGGTCCTGGGAATTAGGGTGTGGACACCTTTGGGGGGATGTTGCCTTCTACACCATCCATCTAACCTGCAGCAGGAATGGGGAGGCGTTCTGCTGATGTACTGTCCTCCGGGGGGCCCTCGGTGTGCACCAAGAACCCTCCCCAGTCCTCTCCAGGCTGTTGAGTGCCTCTCACCAGGGCCCCAGCAGCCCCAGATCCTTGCCTGAGGCCAGATTGGACTGTGGGCTCTGGGATCGCACTGGGTTGCCATCAAGAGCTGGCAGCACGGGCTGAAGGTTTTGTTAGCTGGCTGTTTCCCAAACAAGGCCGAGAAATATTTACATGGTGACGATATCTGAATGCCCGGGATGGGGTACAAGTGAAACAAGGAGCACTTTGGTACCAGAAAGGAGTCTGGGTGGTGGCAGCTGAAATTCCATTCATATTTGTGCCTGCGGATAAACACTATTAATACTGAAGGGCTGTGTCCTGGAGAGTGACGGGTGGGTCGGAGGTCCATGGGGGTGGTAGTGCAATGCAAGTCTTGTCCCCAGACTCGGCCCTTGTTCTGGCACAGTGGGTTGGCCACAGGGCTGGCTCCTTCCTTCTCCAGTGAGGGTTTTTTTTGTGTGTGTGTGAACAAGGGGTCTGAAGATGCGGGGGGTGGGGGGGATGGGGGAAGGGGGGCAGGACATGTCTCCACCCCTGCCTGACTTTAGCATCTGACCCACTTGAGGCCAGCTCAGCAGAGCCCTCATTGAATAGGATGGCCTCCCTCCACTCTCTGCCTTGGAGGATGAGGCTTCTAAAATTTCTCCCAGGCTGGATGATAATGGAACATCACATCATCTCTGGCCTTTAATTTTCACCCCAGGGGATCATGAGCTGGGGGTGACAAGCAATCTGGTACTAATTGTTAAATCACTAAAGGCTGTGAATGTGTTTCCTTTAAAAAGCATCACAGCAAAAGAGAAGTTGGGCTCTGGACTGTGTGCCTGTTAATTGGAGCACCGCCCTGTGCACAGAAGGGTTGCAGGTTCAATTCCCGGTCAGGGCACACACCCAGGTTGTGGGTTCCATCCCTGGTGGGGCACGTACAGAAGGCAACTAATTGATGTTTCTCTCTCACATCAATGGTTCTCTCTCTCCCTCTTCCTCTAGAAAAAAAAAAAAGAAATAAAAAAGACCCTGGGCACCTAAAGGCTCCAAGACAGACGCTCCTTCACTAGGACAGCAAAGCCATAATGGAGAATAGAACTGAGGGTGTGGGAGGCCAGGCCACGGTGAGGCCACAGAAGCAGGAAGCTGGGTTCAGGCCAGCCCCAAGTTCTAGGAAAGCCTCAAGGGCAGCTGTCTTCAAAGTGGGCGGGTGCAGTCTTGGGGGTGCACCAGATGATCCCTGGGGCATATGAAGAAAACCGAGCTCCTGTGTAAGTTTATGTCATCCTTCCAAATGTTCATGCACACTGTACAATATATGTAGTGCGTTGGCATGTGGAATTATGCATTTTGAATGTGGGTTGTTATAGACCTCTCAGCGAAGGCGGCCAATGTAAATGCGGCCTGGATGCTCACCACACCCCTCCCCGGGGCCTCTCCCCCATGTGCTGTGCCCTGGGAACAATCTCTATTCAGACTGCAGATCTGGCCCTGGCCTCTCCAGGGGGCCAGGTAGGCAGCACAGGACCCAGAGCCACCTAAAGCAGCTGTCGTCAACCTTCTGGACCTCACGGACCACCAGTGGCCTGCAGACTACCGGTTGGCCACTGCTAACTAAGAGACAGATGGCAGTCCAGAATGAGACCTACTCTAGCTGGCCCTGCCGACCCTCTGGCTCCTCCAGGTTTCAGCCTGACCTCAAGGGGCCCAGCTCCCACCATGCTCATCCTCTCACTGGCTCCAATCACAATCCCCTCAGTGGGCCCCTCCTGGCTTCTCTACTCCCCGCCCCCAGCTTCATAACTCCTCGGGCCTCTCTCCTTCTGTAATATCTGCTGAAGGCCTGTTCTGGGGCGACCCGGGCGCTGAATGAACACATTGCTTCAGATAAACCTGCTTCCCCATTCAGGGATCTCTTTATTCAATCTGCAAATTCATAACCACCTCTGAGGGCATACAATCAAAATGCATTTGGTGCCTTTCTTATGACCAAGAACTGACGACCAACATTTTTGGGGCCCCGAAGGCAATTAATTCAATGGTATCTGCTTTGTCTTGTTTCCTTTTTTCCTAACAGAATTTCAGAATAAAAATAGAGCTCTATCATATATATATATATATATTTATACACACACATATATCGAGATCCTTCAACCACGTGGCAAAGGATCTGCTGCTCTCCACAGTGCTGCTCGCCTGGCGGAGGCCCAGGAGGCAAGGGCTCTCCCTGGGAAGCACCTGGGGGCGCGGTGCGGAGCCAGTGTAGCGAGGAGGGTGGGCCTCCCACAGGGACTGGGCTAGGACAGACCCAGGCAACTCCTTGCCCAGCCTTTCCACACGTCTTAAAACGAGAGATGTACCTAGAGCTTTAAAACTAAAACCCAAAGTGCTGATAAAAAAAAAAAAAAAAAAAAGAAAGAAAGAAAGAAAGAAAGAAAGAAAGAAAGAAAGAAAGAAAAGGGAGAATTCCCCTGATAGGCCTGTGGGGAGACCAACTTCTTGGGGAGAATTGCAGGAGCATCTTGCAGCAGGCTAGGGGAGCAGCAGGGAAGACACCCACCACCAGCACCCAGGTCCCCTGCAGACAAAGGTGTCTAGTATCCAGAGGCCTGCTCAACCAGTTGGAGGTGCCAGGCAGAGACAACCAAATGGCCAGGGTGGGGCTTGGGTTGCCCAAGAGAGCCCGAGGAATGGGTCATGGGTGGTGAGATGAGCTGGGACAGTCCCAGAGACTCCCATCTCCAGAGGGACGAGCATTGTACCTATTGCCCAGAAAGGTAAGGCTTAAAGGAATGTGCTGATGTAAGCTACTGGAAAGGGCTGGGTCCAGCAGCCACGTGTGTGTCCTGAGGCCCATCCTGGGGCTATGGCCTAGGGTCTAGGCAGGCTGCTTTAGCTGGGGTGTCCAGGAAGCTGGAGATGAATGGAAATGGAGGGTTAGTTAAGGCCAGTGCTGTGCCCCTGGCCAGACACCAGAGGCCCCGAGGTCACTTGGCAGCAGAGGGGTGCACAGTGGATCCCAACTGGCCTCATTAGGCAAAGGTCAACACCAGGCATTATCCACTAACTCAGCCTGGGAGAGGAACCCAGGCGGTCCACCTTCTCCCCACTTGCCAGTGGAGTCAAGCTGTGACTGCTCTGGGCATGACCTGAGAGTGATCCAAAACCCTGTCCTGAGACTGGAACATGGGACCAGGGCTGCGGGCTCCCCAAGGCACAGAGGCATAGGGGGGTGAAGGACAGTTTAAGGCTCTCAAGGAGCAAGTCCAGTCACCGTGACTCTCCCGAGGCACCACAGGGAACTCAGGAAAGCTCCTCGCCCAGCCGGAGGGCAGCTTGCAAGGTTCGTCTTTGGTGCTGGAGAGCAGAGAGCTGAGGTTCGAGACTAAAGCTTGTGCAAAGCCGGAAATCAGGGGTCAGGGATGTGGAGGGAGGGGGGCAGGAATGGGAGAGGGGTTTCCAGATGGGGAGGTAATCAAGCCACCCAGACCTGACTACATGCTCAGATGCTGCACAGATACTCTGAGGAGGAGCCCCCATGTTGACGTGGCCTCCCAGCTACTTCCTTGCTCATAAATGCCACCATGCCTGAGTCCCAAAGAGCAAGGAATTTGCTTTTGATGCAAATCTGGTCCACCCAGCTTGATGAGCAGCTCCCAGACCCAACTGGCCCCAGAGGGAATGCAGGGTGGGGTGGGGGACACGAGGAGAACTAGGGCTGCAGCTTGCAGAAGTGTTCCCTAGAGATGTATTTCCCTGAGGTCCTATTCCTCCCCCAACCCATGCTCCCTGCTTCCTGCCCCCCACCCCCCCTCCCTGCTGTGCGGGGGAGTCAGAGCTCTCTGGGGATGATGGAGAAGGGCAGCACGGGGCTGCTGGCCTCCAGCTCCAGGGCGGTGAGGAAGCAGTCGATGGCGGCCTCGCTCTGGCCCTGGGCCTGCAGCACTTCGCCCAAGCCCTGCCACGCCTCGTGACAGGTGCTCTGCCTTTCCACGGCGTCCCGCAGCACCTTCTGGGCCAGGGACTTGTGGCCCAGCCGACACAGGACCAGACCCTGGGGAGCAAGCACAAGGTGGGGGTTAGTGAGGGTGTCCCAGGGCAGGGGCATCCTGGCCATCAGGGCAAGGAGTGGTGTCTCTGGCTTGGATCTGGTCAAGTGACCGTGCCCACCACTAATGCAACTCCTCCCGGTCCCACCACAGACCCGCTTCTAGCCCGGCCTCCCAGGTCATGCCCTGTGGGTGCAGCTGGGAGATCCTGGACAAGCCGCCATGCTCTGGCCCTCGGGTTCCTCATCTATAAACAGGAAAGACCACAGTAGCCACCTCGAGCGAGAGTGGTCATGAAGTTTACACGAGTCAGTGTAGGTAAGTACTTGAGCAGTGTCTACCTGCATGAGTCTAGTTAATGGCACTTTCTCCCAGCCTTGCTGCCACGCTGCCCTCCTCCCCAGGGACACCACAAGATACAGAATGGATGCTGCAGGCTCCGGCTTCTGCCACCTGGGGCAGGATCTCAAGCTTGTGAGTAGGTGGGGGCAGCTCCTTTGCCTGCATCAGCAGCTGTTCTTCCCTAGGGATGTCTGGGTCCTGGGACCTAATGCCCATCCCAGGCTGGCCTGGTGGGGGAGGGTCACGGACAGTCAGATAGCCGGGGATGCAGGCTGAGTGAAAGGAGGATTCTGGGAGGCTGTGAGCTTGGCCTTACATTTGGCTCCAACAACTCTGTTGCCAGAGAGATATAGAAAGTGACAGGAAAAAAGGGCTGGGAAGTGAAACTGGCACCCTGCCCTCTACATCCACTTCCACCCACACGGGAGAGGGTGGAGGGAGCCAGGGGGACAGGGCAGTGAGGGGGGGGGGGCGGGGACAGGGCCTGTTTTTGGCCTCTGTTCTCATAAAGGCTTCTCTGCACCATACTGACTCACTGATCTGTGTCCCAGCCCTCAAAAGGTGGCATAGGATGGCAGCACGGCAGGGGTGTGTGTGTGGGGGGAGGGACGTTCCTCTCGTTCAAAGACACGAGGTAACGCAGGAACAACACCGACTTCCTGGACAGGCGGGGGCCAGGGCAGGGAGGGGAGCTGCCTCCTGTGTGCCCGGAGCCCCTCTCGGGTGCCCGCCCACGGATGGCCATGTACATTTTTAGCTGGAACATTTTCATCCTCACCACACTCCCCAGAGTTAGGCCTGCCGTTGCCATGGAGACCCACTAGGAAAGATGCACATGCCTGGTTTCATAAAGTCCTCCCTCCAAGAGCCTGGAACATGACCAATTAGGCAAGAGAAGATGGCGCTCAGGAAGCCCTAGTAAAAGCTCTCCCCGCTGCCCTGCTGGAGGCGCTGGTTGGTGGTCCTGCAGGGCCGGGGCCAGGGAAGGGAAAGAGGGACATATTCGGGCTCCTCAATCCCAGCCGGAGCCATCCCTGGGAGTCACGGGGATGAGGCGGAGGACAGGGGAGGACAGGGGAGCTGTGACAGGCGGGGCCTCGGGCAGGCCCCAGCTCCGGCTCGGCTCTGGCCAGATGGGAGCGGTGCTGACTCAGGGCTGCCTGGACCAGAGGGCTGTGCCCAGTCTGGCCAGCAAGGGCTCCGGGCCAAGCTGTTCTGCCCGCAGGGCCTGGGAGCTGGACCCCGAGCGGCTCACAGGGAGGAGGGAAGGAAGGCGAGACGACGGGCTGCCAGACACCAAAATTAAGCACCAAAAATGGAAGGTTTGAGCCCTGGGAGTGCTGCCGACGGGGGAGCGACAGAGGACGGATGGGGAAGGCCAGCCAGCAGAGCTTCCCAGCGAGGGGCGGGCCGCAGTGGCTTCACACGCTGAGGTTGCTATATTGCACTTCCACAGGAGAGAGAGCCTGTTTGAAAAGAGGGCTCTGTCTGGAAACGAGTTTGCAAAGCCCTGATCTCGAGGAGTGTGTGGGTGTCTGGGAAGGGGCCAGGTGTGTCTGTCTGCAGGCTGAACAGGGCTCTGTGTGTGTGTGTGTGTGTGTGTGTGGGTGCTGTTCTCGGTTTGGGTGTGCAGCAGGCTCGGCGTGCTCTGAGCAGAGGACAAGTCGGGGCTCCACAGCCACGGGAACCCCAGAGCCCTGCCCCTGACACGTGCCGTGGCCCTGGGCAAGTGGCCCATTTTCTCTGAGCCACAGTCTCCTCATCTGTAAACTGCGGGACAGAAGAGTCCTTCCTCACCAGCTACGGAGAGGAGTCTGCAATGATGAATTTGAAACCGTGGAGCCGGGCGGGGCACAGGGTGGGCAGGGGCGAATGGATGAGCAGAGAATCCTGGGAGGGGGCGATGGGGTAGACAGAACAGCTGATTTTTCTAGAGGGCAGGGCTCTCTGTGGGGAGGCTGTGGGCGAGGCTGAGGCTGGATCACACCCCCGCCCCTTCCCACCCTGGGGTGCTGACCTTAGAGCCTGAAAGGAGACACCGGGCTGGGGTCAGGCTGGGGCCCAGAGGCCCGGGGCCGGTAACAGGATCTGCTGCCACCTGCCCGAGACTCCAGCCTGTTCATGTTTGGTAGCAACTCGGAACTGTTTGCTGCTTGACAACTGGACAGAGCCCACCCCAGGAAGACTGTGGGTCTCACCTGCTCTGCCTCTGGCCTGCGCTGCCAAGGGCCTGGCACCCCTGCCCCCAGCGAATGGGTCTCAGGAAGAGAGAGGGAGGGACCATAGTTCCATTCAAATATCCCTCGCGGACTCGTCCCCGCCCTGACCAGGGCATCCCGAACCCAGAGAAACCAGCCCTGCCGGTGACCCTAAGCTGGGAGAGGCCACGGCTGTGCTGTCCTCACACGGGGACCAGAAAGGGAGTGCACGTTGCTTAAGGGATGGAGAGGGGCCAGGGCTGCCGATAGCCGCTCAGGGCAGGGCGGGGTAAGTCCCAGAAATTCCCGACTTCCTCCATTCCTCCCTCCCTCCCTTCTTGGGTTTGGGTAGAAGGGGGGGCGGGTAACACCTGGCCACATCTCATCTACCTGGGACCTGCCCCCCAAGACGCCTTCCCTGAGGACAGCAGCCCCTCGTGCCCACACCACCGCCTTGACATTGTGCTGCATTCCTGTGGGATCCATGTGACCCCTGACCTCCATCGGAGCTCGGGCAGGAGGGCCCTGGGCTCAAAGCCAGGTACACCAGAGGCACTTGTGGGTGCTTCGTGACCTGCTTAGGGCCTCGGGACAGGCAGGCTGAGGGGCTCTCCGAGGGGGGCCCTCCCTGCTAGGAGCCCAGGTTTTCTGTAGAGCCAGGGACTGGAGCCTGGGATGGGGATGGAGAAAAAGGATCCCATCTTATTTTTCAAAACTGCTCCTGCACACAGCTCACCCCATTCATTTAGTGCCCGGCACTGTCCCCCGAGGGGCTGGGTGGCAGGAAGGCCCACTGGCTGTGCGTGCCTTCTCCTCCTTTTGGGGGTGGCCTGCCCCGGGAAATAGTCTCCAGCGCTGGGCCAGCTGCAGGCCATGCTGAGCGCTCCCTCCCCGCCCCTACCCTCAAGTATTTATAGAAGTTATTTTGGGAATTTTCTTTCTGAGCTCAAGGCACATTCCTGGGATTCTGTCACAACCTCTCCAGCTGGGAAGCAGGGAATCAGCTGGAGGCCGTTGGAGCCTGTTGGTCTCCGCAGCCTCAGGCTTGGGGTCCCTGGGCTGTTGGGAGGAGCCCCTGGTGGGGTCATGTCTGAGGCTGCTCCTCAGGAAGGCTCCCTCCCTTCACCCATCCTGGGGGGGCTGGCACGCCCAGGGAGGGAGGCCTGCATTCCTGCACGCTGGATTCTCCCAGGTGTGGCCTCAACCTGTCTGACCAGATGGGGAAAGAGGCGGCTCTCCAGGCTGAGAACCCAGCCCACACATCCCCACGTCCATCTTGAAGCTGGCGTGGCCCCCAAACCACAGGTTGGTCCCACTTCCCTGTTGGGAGAAAGGGCACAAATCCTTCTAGATCCCACTCAATGCCTGGCTGGTGACACCCCCAGAATTCCCCCGGGCTCTCCTAGGAAGAGGCTCCTGTGGAGAGAGCCCAGCCGAGGGGGAGCCCCCTCCCCATCACAGCCAGGCCCTCGGGGCTCAGTCAGGAGGCTGCAGCAAGGCCTCTGAACTTCGGGTTTTAGAAGAGAAGACCCTGTGACTGTCAGTGGGAAGGGGGCCCATGGCAGAGGCTCCACTCTGGGACCAGCAGACAGAGCCACTGGGGTGGTGCTGGCCTGGTGGACAAGGGGAAAGGGCTGACCCCCGCTCCTCCAGACAGCGAGTCTTCCGGGCCATTGCTTCTGGGCTAAGCTGGGCCGGCAGCGCTGCACCAGCATGCCCATCTGAGCCTGTGGCAGCCTGACAGCTTCCTTTCCGCTTCCCGGTGGGGGCTGGTGTGCACTTCAGGAGCGCACGCACAGCCGAAGGCGTTCCGAAACCCAGGGGAGCCGCCCTCACCTTCGGGAAGGTCTGAGTCTGGGTGGAGGACTCCGTGTGCTGGGGGCTGTGTCAGGCTTGGGGGGCAGGCAGGTGGGCAGGGGCACCTCCCACCTTCCCCACAGTGAGCCCCAGAGCTCTCTTCCTCCTCCTCCTCCTCCTCCTCCTCCTCCTCCTCCACTTTCTTATCAGGGACTACAGACCCCAGGCAGCACCGGGGAGGGTGAGAAACACAGAACTCACAGTAAAACCACCACCCAGCGGGGCAAATGACCAAGACCTTCCTTTTAGAGTTCCAGTCACCGAGAAGCAACATTCCCCAGCAGCTGGTGGGGCAGAGACACTCCACTGACCAAGGGGCTGCGCGTGTGCACGAACTCAGGTTCCACACCCTGGAACTCAGGTTCCAGTCCTCGGGGGACCAGACCCTCTCAGCCCCCAGCCCCAGCTCACGAGGCCGACCAGGAGGGAGGTCTGGGGCAGATGGGCGCCCTGGGCCTGAGGGATGGGGCCCCAGGGACCAGAGACCCTACTGTTCCGAGTGCCTAATCCAAAGTCAGGGAACATCCAGAGGCCGGGCGCCAAACCGGCATGGCAGACGGCGGGCCAGTGTGCAGGGCTGAGCAAGGCTGAGCAGAATCCCCTCAGGG